ATTTGACAACAGTTGGGAGAGTCTCAACTTAAGTCTCGAGGGAACAAAGAGGTGGCCATTTAATCATGTGACTTGAGCAGGATATGAACCTTTTTACAGTTCCTGCAGGCTTCTTCCTTTTGCTGAGGTAAACTTGTGTTTGGGCCATTAGTCACACCTCTTCCCAGAGTGACCCTCTGGAATTTTTTGGCTTTTATTCCATGAAGCTTTTTTTTTTGTTTAAGATTTATAGGTTTAGCTGAACTTGGGCCCTGCATGAAAAATGAAGTTTACACAGTTTATATCATGTACATAAACTAGTGATTTACATTGATTTATACATGATTGGTGCCTAATTTATTAATCAGCACACAGTATGTAAATGCGCTGAAAGGAAATCAAGATTTTAAAATAAGTTTGCCATAATATCCATAAACATTTTCCTTGGTGTAAGTGTTAAACCTAACCTAACGTTAACACCAGCTTCCTTGCCAAGAGGAAAGTGATGTACATCGCTGGGTGAGAACAAATTCTATATTAAATTTCAGTTGGTGACATCTGAACAGCATAGCTACATGCAAATGAGAATAGTTTACTTCTCTTCCGCTAGTATGCACATAAATGTAAATTCCATTTTGCGTTTAGTGAGATGTTTACAGATATTATGCCAACTATGATGGAAAATTTACATCACTGGGGCAAATGCAGTCTTTGGAAAAGAATTATTTTAAATACTTAAGAAAAAAGAAGGCTTCTCAAACCTGATTTGTGCTCCTTAACTCAGGGTCTTATCTTAATATTTTTATGGTATGTATTTGTCTGCAAAATATTAATAGTTTCTGTGGGTCAAATATAGCATTGCATTTACATTTCCGTAAAAAAATGATAGTTCTTGGGAACCAAGACTAAATCAAGGTAAAAGGTTATGAGGATGAAGAGAAAACAGGACATGGTTAACCGATGGAACGTGGTACATAAGCAAAGCATTTTTAAATAAATAAGTACAAAGTGGAAAAATGGGGCTCCATGTCTTTCTAAATAAAGCACAGCTCTTTTTTAAATCAAATTCAGCACTTTTCTTTCTTTAAAATTTAAGCCATTATGCTAGATTTTTTTTATAATACATATGATATTGTAAATATAGCATTTGTAGAGATAAGATTAAAAAAATTACATACACATATATATTTTTCCACAAATAATTCAAGGTCTGCAAAGAACAAAATGAGAACTTCAGGGAGACTATTCAACAGAAACAGTCAGACCACAACCGACCTGAGGATGGAGCCTGTGACTCTGGAGTAGTAAGAAGCTAACAACTCAGAAACAATCTCCTGCTGAGTTTAGTTTTTGTATGCAAAGGAGGTAAGTCCATTTTTGGAGGAGAAACAGATTTCTGTTTCAGTCCTCCAAGAACATGAAAATCACGAGTACTTTTACAAGGTCTCTGTGAATAGCCCCAGTTATCTTCATACATAGTTTAAAAAAAAAAATCCCATGGCAAGGGAGAAGTCTGTCTGCCTTGGGAGAGAAGGCAAGGGTCGATGGAATAATCCTTCCCAACAGAAAACTCATCTGCTTTCCCCTAAGCCTTAGTTCTTTTAGGACAGAGGGGTTTTGTGTCTTAAAACAAGCCAGGATATCCCCCCAACAAGGCAAAACCTTTCGATGAACGATTGCACAGACGGTACAAGTATACATTCTGTAGCTACAGAACCTAGGACAGATTTCATTTCTCAGGAAGCACCCTGGGTCAAGATTATTTCTGCTTTTGTCAACCGAAAGCTGGGTTCAAGGATTTTGCTTTAAGAATGGTGGACTTTCATGTTGCATAAAGAGGACATTTTTACTGACATTAAGTAAATTAGTCATTCAGATTAATTGAGGCATTACATTCCTCTCAGTATATTATTTCCAACCGCTTGGCTTTTTTTCAGTGCAGGGTTTCAAGCTTTGTTTACCAGTGGACAAGATTCTTGAAAAGGTTTATGGCAGTATGATGAACTAAATTGCAAGAAATCTCACGTTAAGACCCTATTTCTTGGTATCAGTCCTCTGGCCCCTTCCTTTTTCTCGACCTTTCTCAAAAAGATGTTGTCCTTCATTGTTCACATTGCTTAGCTGCATTCTCAAACATGAGATTTCTGGGATCAGTGTTTTCTCTGAAATGTTAGCCGTGAACAAATAATAATAATTAAAAATCCCAGATCTTGCCAGAGTTATATGCAAAGCCACCACAATTTTTAATATGTGTTTAATGATGTTTAATATATAGTCCATTATATTAAAATTGAGAGAACAGATGGTGCTGATATAGTAAAGACATTCTCTACAATGGAGAAGCTTCTTCCATAAACCCAAAATCTTGTCCTTGTAATAGAATGGAGGTAATAGGAATGCCAAGAGTTTGATGAAATCCTGTGACATGCCATGGGGATCCATTCCTGGCGTGATGCTAAATGACATCTGAATTAACCCCTGCTGCTTCTACCTTCCTATTTAGTTTTAAGTTAGCATGCACTCTTCTAAAGCCCCTTCTTACGGATGTGGCTGCCTCTTCAATATATGGGGAACACTCATCATCAGAGATGATAACCTTTTATTTCTTCCACTAAGAAGACCAAAACTGATAGAGAATCCTGATTGTCAGTAAACTGATGGTACATAGGGATATGGCTCACCTTCCCTTTATTTTAGTAGCTGACTTCTTCCATATGAATTTCTGTCCTATGTCAGGATCTGCCATAAAAAATCATGAAGGGAGGATAGTGACAAGCTTCTGGGGGAAAAACAACAACAAAAAAAATAGAATCTCCTAGAAGAACTTAAAAATGCTGCTTATCAAGGAGATGACTACCTGCAAAGAAGAGACTCATTGCAAAGAGCCTTTGATCAATAAAAAATAGCAAGAGAAATTTTGGAGTTTTTTTTTAAATTTACAATTATTAAGTTTCCTGTTTTGTATCATGTGACAACTAATTTCAAGGTTCCAAAACTCAGTAAGATACCACCTTTGACTCTGATGGAATACATTCAATTATGACTTGAATAATGATCGTCTGTCCTTTCACAAACTGAGCCACTTCCAATCCCTCTTATAGTGCAAGTGAGAGCAATGACTAGTTTCCTGACAAAGATATCCACACACAGAGAGCTAGCTTTCTCTGCGAGACCCTTTCTAAGAAAAGCCTATGGAGATGCCAAACTTTGTGGTACAAATACATCTGCCTATATTTATTACAAGTTGTCCAGCTCTTTTGGTTAAGGAACTAGCTCCCATTTCAGTGTTAATGGCAAGAACACTCCTGTAGAAGTAAATTTAAATACCATACCCCCACTGTATTTTTTTCAGAAGACCAGAAGCTAAAAGCAAGCAGGGAAGGTGATTATTATGCAATTCTTAGTGGCCTACTCTAGGATACTGATGGACCTCTCTGAACAGTGATGCTGGACACACCATCACTGGAACTAAAGGGAGATGATATAGGCAACCAAATAAAGTAACAGCCTAGAACATCAGGTCAAAAATCTTAAAAGGAGCAAATTCCTTTTTGTTATGGTCTATGCTTTCTGTTAGAGCTTTGACAATATCTCTAGGATATGGATAGGGACCTGGGTATTTGCCAACTTTTCCTGCTTTGCTCACTCTCCCTGTATTTTATCTGAAATATGAAACAATCTCTGCTCAGAAGAATCTATGGGGCAAATATGGAAGATTAAGGAGTGGGTCAAGCAGGCTGCTTGGGAGCTCTATGTGGCTCATCAATCTGCCACTGGGAATTAACCCTTGGAGATCTTCCTGTATCTGGGGATTTACTAGATACCTCTTACCCACTCCTGCAGCAGAGCAGAGGCCAGCATGTAAAAAGCCCAGAAATATATGAATCCATCAGAATCATGAAAAAAGAGTGAAATCAGAAACCTTCTCTCCTAGGTTACTTCATCCACATCACTGGTTCTTTCTACTGTTTGCTCACCCCATCAATAGTAGGCACTTTCATTTACAGTGATATTCTGAGTGACTCCCGACTGGGTTCTGATGATTGGACTAGCAGAAGTATGGGGTTCTGCCCTTGGAAGGGGCACAGCTTGGTTTGAATACACACTGATCTCCTGTGGCAGTGAAAGCTGGGGGGAGAGGCTCTGCTCCTCCTCGCCTTTCCCGCCATCACCCCCCAGCAACTTGTCACAGCCGCATCTCACAGTTACAGTGCAGGACAGTATCTACAGCACAATGAGTCTATGTACACATGGACCATTCCCTTGGCATGCTTTAGAGAGAGACACACACGCTCACACATGTACAGCCACGTGAGAGAGACTTGCGCACGCGCACAGTGGATAAAATTAAAATGGCACTTCCTAGCATTGGCCACATAACTAGTGCTCATGGGGTGGTGGGGTGAAGAGAAGCAAGGAGAGGGTAAAGAGGGAATATGTGGATGGGTGGGGGTAGATAGAACACACTGGAGGGAGAAGGTATGGGCTTAAAAGCTGGAGAGAGCGTGGAGGCAGGCAAGCCACAATAAAGGCCCAACACAGGACTCCCGCGTGTTTTCCACTGATAGTCTGAAATCGCTCAGATGAAAAAACGGAATAAAAAGATTGTGGAAATAAAAACACCAATGGCAAGACCTTATTCCCTCACCCCCCAGATGAAAAAGCATGAAGGAGGAAGGGGAGGGGTGGTGGTGGTGGTTAATATCCATCTGGTACTTCTTTGCTTGCGTTATTTTACAACAGCCGGACGTCTTTAGTACGATGCAGTCTTTACACGGCACACGTTTGCTTAGATATACACATATCCTGGTAGAACTTTTCCCACCCTGAATTATCTTCAATTTTTTTTTTTTAATTGGTGGACTTAAATTTTTTTTCTAAAATGATGTATTTTCGTCTTCATTTCCTTATTTCCCCCTTCATTTATAAACACACAAAGTTGTGAAATCAACGTCTCCCCCCCATCTCGCGCGCTCTCTCTCTTTGTATCCTGTGTGACGCATTTTTGTGTGTTTTTTTAATTATTTTTAAATTTGTATTCTATTAACATTTGCTGAGAAGGCAGAGCAGAGTTGCTGCCAGCAGCCACAGTGGTACGGCCAAACTGATGGATCCGTTGATTCCTCTCACCGACCCAGGTCCTGCAGAGCAAAAGGGGAGAGAGAGGGAAGAGCGAAAAGTTAACGTGTGCACTCTGTCACCGCTGACGCTGACTGCGGCAGACGTATAGGGCTGGCCACGCAGTAGCGCCGCATAGTCAGTGCGCATGTGCAGCCCAAGAAGGCGCGGCATCTTTCCTAAATCCCTCTCCTCCCTGGATTTAGGAGTATCTTAAGGGGTATCACTGGTTGAGACACTTCTAAATACACAATGCTCTTGTCAAAGAACAGCCAAACTGCCGGTGTCTGTCGTCTCTGTCTCTGATGGCCCAGCAGCCTCCTGTCCCCAGACCACCCTGCCTGCTTTCCCCTGGTGCAGCTCCTGGAGGCAGCACTCAGTAAGGCTCCCAGCAATGATGAGGGTCCTTCCTCAGCCAAACACTGCCTACTCGGGCCGCTTCATCACAGCATCTCCATCAACAAAACATGGGGCCAATCCATGACTTCCTTGTTTCCCACAGGAGAAGTCATCATTATTTGTTAAGGGGAAGGGGATGGCTTCAAAGTAACATTTATGGCTGGGTAGCACCTTAGCAAGGAGCCTTGGTGGCACAGTGGTTAAGCGCTGGGCTGCTGGCTGCTAACTGAAAGGTGGGCAGTTGGAACCCAATAGCTGCTCTTCGGGAAGAAAGATGCGGCAGTCTGTGTCCCTAAAGATTACAGCCTTGGAAACCCTATGGGGCAGGCCTTCTGTGTCCTATAGTATCGCTATGAGTGGGAATCTGCTCGTTGGCAATGGTTTGGTTTTGGTTTAACACCTTAGCAGCGAGATAGAAAATAAACAGACGCAAGTAGAATCTTTAGAGGCAGCAGGGGATCAACTTGTTCAAACTCTTCATTTGACACTTAAAAAACAAACAAAAACCTGGGGCCTGCAGAGGTTAGGAGGCATGTCTGAACTGCAGGGGCGGCCTCTGTCTCCCGCTGCCACCTTAGTTTCCCGGAAGTGGACATGATTTTTTGGGGGTGGGGTGTGCATCTGACAGAGTTGAATGGAGAGGAAGGTGGGGAAGGGGTTTGTATGTTAATGGAAAGAGGAGGACTGGGGCAGAAACTAGAGATCTAATTGAAGGGCTTGTCTCCTACACTTCACTTGTCCCAGTTTCTCCTTTGGAATAGATCCATACAGATTCATTAAAAGAAGAACATACCAATAGTTTTCACTACAGACACTTTCGAATTTAAGACTATACTTAGACAATGATGTTCAAAAGAAAAATGGCTATAATTGTGGGTCACTTTGAAGTTTTGAGGGCATACATGCAGATCAATGTTCATGAATGAGTATGTGTGTATGTGTGTGTGTATGTGTCTGTTTAAAACCATGATGGTTTGTAAGGGCAATGGAAGCATCCTCTCGTATAGGAATGTTTCCAGAAATGTCTACAAACATACCAGATATGGAGGTAAAATACTATGTGGAAAACGCTGAATTCAAGCATGGTCTCCTGATGTGTGTTTTATGTAAGTAACAACAACCACCACAAAACAACACCAGAGAGCAATCACATAGCACTGCAAGGCATTATTATAAATGCTTTCCAAAGATTAGCACCCAGCCATTCAATGAGGGTACTATAACTGACCCAGTTTTACAACAAGAAACAGAGGCACAGAGAGGTTGTATACATTGAGCTAGTACTTCTTTATACACCTGGCCAGTCAAGGCGCCGGGAGTTTTACCCAGGAGGTTGTTGCCACTGCACAGTGGAGTTTCACAGTCAAGCGGTGCAGGTGAGTCACTTGTCAAACAAGGAACTTTGGGTTTGTTTAAAACAATACCAGAACCCACAGAAACAATGAGGGACATCTGTTATCTTTGCAAAAATGATTTTCAATGAAATACTTTTGAGTAGAATGCTTCTAAAGAATATTAAAAGGGCGTTACTGTTAGTTGCTGTCCAATTGATTCTGACTCACGGAGACCCCAAGTGTGCAGAGTAGAGCTGCTCCATGGGGTTTTCAAGGCTGTGACCTTTCAGAAGCCGATTGTCAGGCCTTAGTTCTGAGGTTTCTCTGGGTGGGTCTGAACGGCCAGCCTTTCAGTTAGTAGTCCAGTGCTTAGCCATTTGCACCGCTCAGGGACTCCAAAAAAATTACTTAATATAAGATATGAATATATACAAACTTTGAATTAATAACTATACATAGGTATTGTATAAAGTGAGCTTCATGTGCAAAGATGTGGAAGGACAGGATAAACAACTTAGATATTAAACCAGTCAGTTCTGTGATGTCCTGAAACGGCTATAAAAACAGAACCAAACTCGTTGCCGTCGAATCAATTCTGACTCATTGTGATAGGATCCTATTAATAAGAGGCACTTTAGTTATCTTTGGACCCCTAGTGGTGCAGCGGTTAAGAGTTACTCACAGCTGCCAACCAAAAGGTTGGCAGTTTGGATCCACCAGCTGCTCCTTGGAAACCCTGTGAGGCAGTTCCCTCTCCTATAGTGTAGCTATGAGTTGGAATCGACTGGCTGGTAATGGGTTTTTTGTTGTTGTTGTTTTAGGTACCTTTAGGTCTGCGACTTTCATGAGGAATTAAGATTCAGCAAGATTGTGTATCCTGCCTATAGCACCTGGCTAATGATTGTTGACCAGGTACTAGAATCTGAATCTTAGCTCAAAACCCTTTCAAATGTTCTCCTCTCTCTTTTAAAACTTTAATAGAATCTCTGTCCCACCAGGAGCTGGAAGGCGGGGACTTTTAGCCTTTTTTGACCTTTTGGGACCTTCAAGCTTTCTTAATGGAACTTCTCAGGGCTTCTGGTCTGGTGGCAATGTTATTTTGCTATCATTTTAGTTCTTCTATAGACATTAGATGGCATGAGCTGCTTGGCACATTTGATAAAGAGTTACAAAAGTGTGTTCGGATTGTTGCTGTTGTGTGCCATTGAGTTGTTTCCAACTCATAGAGACCATACAGGACAGAGTAGAACCGCCCCATGGGGTTTCCAAGGCTGTAAGCTTTCTGGCAGCAAACTGCCACATCTTTCTGCCGCAGAGTGGCTGGTGGGGTCAAACCATCAACATTTCGTTTAGCACCTCAGCACTTAACCACCATGCACCAGAATTAGTGTAAGGCTTTCAAATTCAGGTCATATACGGTTAAGCAAAAACGATTTCTCTTTTACCCCAGAGATAGTATGAAACAGAATGTTTTCCAGAAGAGTCTAATTCTGCTTAATTGTTTCCTTAATCTTGCTTTTAGTTCTGGGACAGGCTAGATTATCTTTCAGACATCATTGAGCTGAAAGCTACCTGGGGATGTCTAAGAAGCACAATCGTACCACTTTATTTGAAGGATAATGAATATTTGAGAAAGCAAAGATTCCGTTGTTAAAAAACATAATATATACATATATGAACGCAGATAAGCATGTTCACATACAGTATTCTTGCTAACACATGTATACACTCACACACAAAGTATATATGTTATATGTCGTTAATTGTTACTGAATGGATTCCAACTCATGGCAACCCATGTGTACAGAGTAGAACTGTTTCATAGGATTTTCAAGGTTGTCACCTTTGGAAGCAGATAGCCAGGCCTATCTTCTGAGGTGCCTCTGGGTAGGTGGTTTTGAACCACCAACCTTTCAGCTAGTACTCGAGCACTTAACCATTTTCACAACCCAGGGACTCCTTATGTTATATACATACTCATAATACACATAGGATATACCAAACCAAACCTAACCCCTTGCCATCGAGTCAAGTCTGACTCATAGCGACCCTGTAAGACAGAATAGAAATGGCCCCTAGGGTTTCCAAGGAGTGGTTGGTGGATTTGAACTGCTGACCTTTTGGTTAGCAGCTGAATGTTTAACAAGTGGACCCTGAGGGCTCCCACATAGGATATACACACACATTATTGGTCTTCTACTACACAGTTGAGAATTAGTTGTTACTTTCACTTGCCATTCTATATTGTACATAGGAAATCTCAGTATGCCCATGTTAATCTTCTTTAATTTTACCCTTAATAGGAGTATTATATATATGAACTGCATTTTGTACATCTGTTAAAGATATCTTCATCTTTATCAATTATTATTTATTAAGTGCTCTCATATAGCTATTTCATGTGCTTATATTACTTGCTCTTTTCATAATTGGTTTTGAGAGTAAATAAATAGGCTTGAAAAAATGCAAGGGTAAATGGGTGATAGTTGGGAATCATCACAAGTGTGTATGCAATTATAGATATATATGACTGCATAGAAGACTACTTCAGTTAATGGCTATTTCAGAGAAGAATAATCAGCAAAATCATTAATTATGTTTTAGTTCATAGTTATGAAATTTCTGCTTATTTGTGGAAATGCAAATGATAAATCCTATTTCCCACACCAGATGGCCGGGCTCAGCAAGTGCTTTCATATCCTGACAGATAAAATGAAAGCAAGAGTCTGCAAACATAAATTAGCCTTAAGAATAGATAGGCAAATAGAACCACAATTCAAAAATTTGGTATGTTTTTCATATAACAGACATGTCAACCTTGATATTCGGCCACATTCTGTATGTGTACACATGTATATGCACACACACGTTTGTGTGGTATAGTAAATGTTCAGAAAATGACGGCATCATCATATTTATTAACTCTAGAAGTTTGGATTACAGAAAGGCATGAAATACCAACCTGAATCAAAGGCATTGGTTTAATAAATGGGGTCAAAGTCTTTTAATCTTTGGCTTGAAAGGGCAAAATACAGTTGTGGCAAGACTGTGAATCTCGAGTCAACACACCAGCCTAAGTCAAGGTTCTCAACCCCAGCCAGAGGTTGGTACGTGAAGCTTTGTATCGAGACGAGTGCTGGACTGCACTTTGCCATGGCACTGTTTATAGAAAGGACGCTGTGATTGAGGGTAAGACTGTAAACCATTCTGAAATTCAAGGACACAAGCATTTTCTGGCAAGTCTCTATAGTACAAATCTGATGCAAGATCCTGAAACAGTTAATTTGTCT